AATGGTTACTTGATCAATTTTTTGTTCAAGAAAGGTAATTCTTTGCAACAAATCATTTGCGGGAACAGAAGGAGCATTAGTACTAAATACTTCTGGTTTCCGATTCATATCACTAATTTTATCTGCCATAGACGCTAACTTGGTTACATCTTCATCACTAACTAATAATATATTTTTTATGGAGTCAGGTAGCTTCTCCAGCCATAAAGTTTTGATTAGATTTTCAGACACATCTGTAGTAGCAACTGATCTCAACTTCTGCAAAAAGTTGGCTTGGTTTCATGTCTCCAAGTTCGATACCAGTAATCAAACGTTTAATCCGTACATTTTCACTTTCTTTGAATAAATGTAATAACCTAATTTTAGCATCCGAATATTTTGTGGCACTATCGTTCGTTACAATGTCCCAAATATTTTCGACGAACTTAGGTTCAAGCTGTGTGAAACTAAATAATTAAATTTCGTTTCTTCTGAAACGATATTTACTAAGTTTGAACTGAGCTTCAACTTGAAAAAACCATATTTCCGGTTTATCAATCCAAAAAGGAGGTATTTTCACACTCACCTTATGAAGCTCCGGTGACTGTATCGTATCTTTCATAGCAGTTTCAGAAGAGTCATTTGTTGACATTTCGAAAATTAATCAGGGTCACCACGATGTAGCCTTGGCTACTAATGTTTAAAATTAATTTATGACTAGTAACAGCATGAATTATAAACAAATAGCTAAGTTATTGCATTTTATTTTCCAGCTATCGAAATGCGACGCTACGAGCAACGTTTTGAAACCAAAACCTAGCAATCATGAATCAGAACTAGAACTAGTTGCCATTCAGCATAAAAGAAATATAAATATGAATATTAACAAAATATTAAAGTTAATTTTATAAAATAATTAAACACATGAACAAATATATGAAATAAAAAATAATTATTTCTCATGCAATAACTGGGCCACTACAACGCTACGGTTTTCTTTTAATAGCCACTTAATATTTTTGACACAGTTTTAAATTTTATAACAGACTTTTTTTGTCCAGGCCTGTGAATCTTTAAACTCGGTAAAAAGCACATTCACGAAAAAGTATATACCCTTTCCAAGGATGAACATTTCCACGTATAAAATAAATAAAATATCCAAAAACTTTTACCTCTAAATTATCTATTATATTGTAAACATCACCAACGAATTCATACCACAAACATTACAAAGGGTTACAAATACTTAGTGTCAAATATTTAAATTATTTCCATGCACGTTTACTTCAACTGAAACTTATACCAAATTCCTACAAACATAAAATTCGCAAAATAACTATCATTTAATTAAAATATCACTACAAAGGGTTACAAATACTTAGTGTCAAATATTTAAATTATTTCCATGCACGTTTACTTCAACTGAAACGTATACCAAATTCCTACAAACATAAAATTCGCAAAATAACTATCATTTAATTAAAATATCACTAAACCATGTACACGTCGACTTATTTTTACTTTAAAAAAAAAAATCCCAGAATTGCACAAAAATGGCATTGAGCACATTCTTCACTATATCCGTGTACACTGCTTTTTTCTCGTAAATTAGAAAAATTGCATAAAAATACTCAACGTATTCTACTCAAACGTATTCCAAAATACTACAAACATATAACTCACAAAATCACGATCATTAAATTAAAAAACACTACTTAAAATATAAATAAGCACATACATTAAATTAATAAATATTAGATTACAATCCTAATTACTTTAAACTAAATCATTGCTAATAACAATTTTTTAATAATATCATATTAATATATTTACTCCTTACATTTAGAACAATGCATAAAAATAATATCCTCAAATGATTAAAAATACTAACTTACCTAATCTTCAGCATCTTCATTACGTGGCACGCACACTTTCACTATTTCACACAACACACAATGAAGCTTAATACAAAATAAGGTACTTTTCTGTTTCGCCGGCGCAAATCTCGCCAAGCAGGCTTTATTGGCGACAACACGCAGTATACACATAAAAAATGTAGACAAATGTTAACTCTAAGAATTTTTTATTTGAAGGTATAAACATTTTAATGTAGTTTAAAATTTTGTAAAAAAGATAATAAATAAAGACAATAAATTTGTAAAAAGACATTAATTAATTTAAGAATTTACTGTGCTTTCATGGTACAACATCCTGATTCACCGGTTCACATATCACGTGACCTCAGGGGATTTCATCTCACGTAAACTACACTACAAAAATCTAGTTCTTTCATTAATTTCGAATTAAATCTTAATTTGGAATACAAGTTTAAATGCAAGAACTATTTCAATTCGTACGAATAGCTTGCTCGGAAATTATGTAAACCGCAGTGCTTTACTTCGCTAGTGCATTCTCATTTAGAATGAATGATTTAACCTTGCTTTGCCTTTCTATATTTTAGTCCTCGGGTGAGCGGTGTGATTGCGGGCATAAAACTGAACTATCTGGTAAAATTATATGTAATTGTATGCCAGTAATGAAAGAAACAATCAATCTGATAAGAAATGGTTACGACTAAGTTTCTGAAAATGATGAATAAAAGGTTACCAGCGAGGATATTCCGTTTGCTATCGTTTGTACCATTATTGGCGACTTTATCGCCTGCGCCGGCAAAACGGAAAAGTACCCAAAATAATATAGTACTACAGTTTTCCAAATTCCCCCTCCCCTTTCCGATTAAAGAACTGTAATTTGGCCATTAATGTCACATGACATATCTCATCTCTCATTTCCCTCACACAAAATAATGCGTAATCGGAACTGAGTACTTCTCACATTATTACCAAAGTCTTAGGTAGTAACCTTTATCGCCTCCAAAATGTCGCCAAACTACCAGTTACCATATTTCAAAGATCAGCCACATTTTTACAGTATATAATGTTTCATATCTGCTATCAAATATTTCTGTCTTTGTTTACATAATAACGTATAGGTTTCATGATGCCTTTGATCATTTCTAAGAGTTCTGTAGCAAAACGTCCCACTAATGACTGATTATGTTAGCTGAACTCTTGTAATTGAATTATAGTTCCTTTCATAGTGGCTAAGGGACCACCAGCTGTCAGTTGGTAAGGTCAGTAAACAGTGGTATTTAGATCCTAGAGAATGGCTTGGCTATATGGACATTTTCACGATTTTTGCCATCTGTAGCATGAAAACAACCTAATTTCCCTTTGAAGATATTCTATGAAATGTTCTTCTCATTAACCAAGTAGCCTGAATGCTCTTTGCCGTAACTGATAAATTCAGTACTGTTGATTGGGCAAACTGAATGGGTAATTTTGAGTTAAAGGTATATTTGGTTCTAGTGTAGAATTGGGTGCCCCTTTCATTAGTGACAAATTTTGTTCAGTTTTGGCGATAAAATCCCATTTCTAGTTACCATTATGGTTTTAGCTTCCTGATTTTTTTTCAAGTAAAAATACTTCGATGTGTATGTGGACAAAGTTAAGGCAGTGCGCAATGCCTAGTTTATGCAATTCTCTGATGTTTTTTTAAGTGAAAATAGATGGATTTGTACATAGACACAGTTTGTCTAATTTAAGCTCGTACAGCGTTCAGGACATTTGCATGACTTGTGTAACACGCTAATCCGGGTAATTGTAAACATGACGAATTATGTAATTTTCGAAGAAAGTGTAGGCAAATAATTATTGATGATACATCCGATGATGATCAACTACCAGAGTCCTGGCTTTGGAAAGAAATAAGAAATAGTTCAAAAATCTGGGACTATACGATGACTCGCGGCATAAGAGAGGAAGCCTTATGTCAATTAGGAGGAAGTAGAGGAGAATTTGATATATTTAATCTAATATTTGATGACATATTTTGGAACAATATTGTAACCGAATCGAATCAGTATGCAGATCAAGTTCAAGTACGAGAAAATCCACAAAGAACACGAGTATAAAAAGTGTAAAGTTCCATTACATGCACCAGAATGCTTTGAAATATATTATACTGTTACCGATTACTAATTTTATATTTTGGAGTTTTGTATAAATAAACATTTTGTAATTCTTGCATCTATCACAATTATTGCATCAGACTGTAATTGCACATCAAATATTCCACGTAATATTCACTTCTGGCCCGACCATCATACGCGGGCTATGCCGTCATTGTAGATTAAGGGGTTAATTATTTTATTTTTCATCAAAAGTTGTTTAGGTACTTGGGTATTATCTTATCAGCCATGACATTTTTGCCAAGCAATTAGATTTAATGCCGGTTATGGATAAGCACGATGTGAACTTCACACACAAAAAAAGTTCCTAAAATTTTTTTGTGCTCTTGTTCTCTTCATGTGTACACTTAAGTGCCTGTACTCCTTTTCCCATATTTTCACTTGCGCACTAGTCAGAACAGGTTATATGTGCATACTTGGGTTGCTTTGTAACTATTTTAGTGACGATCTGTGTTGCCTCGTGAATGTTTTCACGAGTTTTCATTAGAGGTGTGAGTAATCAAAGAGCCGGAAGTATATATGCAACTAAGCACATCTAATAATAATGTAACCTGTTGTAAGATGTATGTCTACTAGTAGATACAATATTGCAAATGTAATGTAACACTGCAAAATACTTGGATTCAGATCTCGGCCGGTAGACTGGTTTCATTTTATTTTCCCTGTGTGTTAAATGAATACGAACCAGTTTTCCTTAAACATTCTCTATGAAGATACTTCTTTTCCTAAAATAGATAACCTTCAAAGGCTGTACCTTGTTCAGTTAAATTATTATCTTTAATAAGATATACTATTTAAAACTAGTTTCTAATATAAGAGTAACAATGTTGTCTATTTTTTTGTTGACTGGTTCTTCATAAAATCTTTGCATTCGTTCGAAGCTATCCCAAATGTAGATTTCAGTTTGTCATTTTTAACATCTAAATAATTTTAGCACATAACTATCAATAGTCAAAACATATAGTTTATTAACTGTATCAACATATTTCAGATTTTTATCTAAACATGTTGGCTTCACAGATTTATAAAGATTCTAAAGAAAATGCTAATGTAATCATTAAGGATACAAAGCTGAGTGAGTATATTTGTTTTCATTCCTTTTTATATTAATATGCAAAATTTTTAAAATTTATTTTGGTTCAGACTTTTAATAATTTCAAAAATATTGAAATTTATCTTAAGTTTTTATTGCAAAATTTGTTTTTCATTTTCTATTTTGAGTAATATTTACTCCATAAAATTTATTTCATAATATGATAGATTTCTGATACTGCATTAAGTCAAGACACTTGAAATTATATTCTTAAATTTCTAAACTTATAACACTGCTGGATATGAATGTCTTGGAGAGAAGTGAAATACAACAAAATATTTTGGTTAATATTAAAACTTTTGTATGTAGTTTGGAATAAATGTATCTTTGGCAAGAAAAAAGCTAATGATATCCATATCATATTAAAACTGCTTTGGAACTGTAAAATTCACCAAATAAATTTAAATAAATCAGGTAAACATCCAAAACAACATCCAAAAACAGCATGTATGTTGCAATCACCAGAAGTTTGTCACCAGATACACACACACATAAAAAGTGTTTTTAATTAAATGTGAAAACATCTTGAAAGCATATTAACTGCCTAACTTACTTATAATTTTTGTGTGCATGAATTATTTCTCTTCTCATTGTAAAATTATGTATTTAATCCTTTCATAAATTATTTTCCCATCCAAGTGATCCAACACTAAGAAACGTTGACGAGAAAAAATTTTAACAAAAATTTCTTTCCATATGCTAAAGATTTTGTTAATGACACTCACCGGCTGAAAGATTACATATAGAGCTATTTGAATTAATAACTGATTTGTTATTCACATAACCCAGAACTGGCTCCAGACCTCGTATGGCCACACCAGCTTGCAGAATTTGGACAAATTTTATGGAATTTAGAGAAGCGCCAAACAAAATTAAGGGATGACAAAATTTTTTTAACTTTGGTAAAGCACTGGGACCCAAAGTCTAGAACTCAGTATGGTGCTTGATAACAGAATTTAGGACACACAAAGACTGTATCAGGTGGTAAGATGTCTAGCGCCGGCCCTCGTTGAGCCTTAAGTATGTATGGAAATTTATTTATTCAGGACTCAAATAAGCCTCAAACATGCGCAAGAAAGAGATGTAAGTATAATAAATAACTAAAATAATACATTTCAGGCTTAATTGCCACATGCACAATAAAAGGAAGACAAAATTTAGTGGAATAAATGTCTTTCGTCATCAGCACATCATAGCTGATACTGAAGCTGCTGAACTATTTACAGATGACGTTTTACTATTAGCGAGTTCAATAAATTTATCTCCAGAACAAATTTACAATGCTGATGAAACTGATCTTTTCTGGCAATATGTACCATGAAATACCTTGGCATCCTCTACAGAAAAGTCGCCAACTGATGTCAAAGATTCCAAAGTGAGAATAACAATTTTAGCATGGTGCAAATGTTACAGAAACACCAATGTGTAAACTTTTCATAACCGTAAAAAATACACAACCTCGAGCATTTAAAGAGTAAAGATTTTCCCCGTTATATATCATGCAGATAAAAGAGCATGGATGATACAAGCCTTAACCACTTAAGGACCAACGCCGAGAGAACAAAGGGCAGTCACAGGACCAGACCCGCTGAAATGAATCATCGCCACTGGCCCGCGCATTTTCAGCAGTTACGCCTAATTTTACCAAAAAAAAATCTTATAAAATCAGCATTTTGATATTTTGACTTAGATTTTTGAAGTTGTGTATTTAATATATTTGTTTTTAATATGTATTAATATAAAGAATATCACATTAGAAGAAATAAATTAAATAGGCAAAATACTAAAATCATTACTATACACATAGAAATAAATGCTATAAACATAAAAAAAAAATTACAAAACTAAACAAGAATTACCTGTAGGTAATTAAATTCCAATTTAAAAATTCTGCTGTGTGTGAAATAATTCAAAACAAGGATCGATACACAGTCCTACATTACATATTTTGCACTCAAAATATGTAGCTTGATTTCGCTTTTCCTTGGTTTTAGCACACACAACGTATCTTCTACTACCTTTATTACCTTTTTTGTCAATGTAAATTTTTGGAAACTATCTTCCAGTTAGATGGAAAGGTGGAGTGTCTGGCGATTTTGCACAAGTTTTTAAGTAAGGTCTCTTAGCCATGGCTAACGGAATGAAACGGAATATAACCCCAACACATGTCCCTAAACATCTTCAAAGGACACTCGGAAATATTTCGTCCTCAAACCCTGTGTGACGTCAGGTTTATATTAGAAAACTTCCTGTTTTTCTAAATCGAAAATAGTGTCCACAATGGCCGGAAAGTGATCAAGAAAGACTCCTCACTGGGAGGATATCCGTTACTGATCACATCAATGTATACATTATATGTCTATAGAACTAGAGTTAAAGAGAAAGTATTAGCACAAAAAGAGGAGCAACTTGCATCGAAAGAAATGTTTAATAAAGTAAACAAACTTTGTTTTAATTTTGATACCCTTTAAAATCTTAAATTCTTCATTATTTCATAAATCGCCATTCATAATTTAAATTTTATAATTTCTACATGCCATCTTATTAGATTTAAACTGATGATCTAATATCCAGGAAAATGCAAAGTTGGGAACGCCGAAGTCCCGACAATTTCGGACTTTGTACTGTGTTATATAACCAGGAAATATAATGAACCTGATTTTACCAAAATTGTAAAGGCATCTCGTTTCAGATGGTTAAGCCATATTTATAGATACAGTACACTCCCGATTATCCATGGAATTTGGTAGTGAGGCCGCCGTGGATAACAAAAATCGCTGATAATCGGAAAAAAGCTAAAAACGGGTATAGCAAAAGAGAAAACAGTCATTCCAACTTTGAAAAATCATTTTATGTACAATAAAACGTAAAATAAACAGCAGAAAATGTTTAACTAATGCTTAATATTTTAGTATATTAGTCAAAACTAACCTAAAATGCATTTTGTTAATGAAAACAGAAAAATGCTTTGTACTTACGAGAGGCATCAAGGATACACAGAAAAATTAATACATATGTACTGTTTTAATACTGTAATGTATTATGTAATTACAAAACATACCAGTAAAACTACACCTTTTTGAAGAAATCAGTCATTGCTTCTTGCTTTGGAAGCATTTTCTCTTGATCGGAGATTGCATTTTTCGTAAGCATAAGTTTTCTTTCTCGGCCAACTCCGCGTCGTCTTGTTCTCCCAAATAGCTCAGCAAGTCCGTCGACTTGGTTTGCAACAGCCGCTTCGTGAGTCTTCCGCATCTGGCACAGTGGGCTCTTCTTCTTCTTCGCCTTCACTTCGCTTCTCCTTCATTCTCGGTCTCTCCCATCTTGCTTTCTTTCACAATTTTCGTCATCTGTCAAGCGTTCGAAGCCAGGTTTGTTGACGTCACACTCCAACCACTCGTTAATGTTTTCAGCATCGACCTTCTCACCACCCGGAACTGTTTTCACCATATCGGCAAGAATTGCCGTGGGCGTGTCTACATGTTCATTCTCTTCTCAAAGGGGAGACTCGCAACTCAAAGGGATTGTTGTTGGCTTGAACATTAGGCATGAATTTTCTCCATGATTTTATGAGAGTTGACAGTTTCACCGTCTTCATAGTTCACCGAGACCCATGCAGATGCAATATCGTAGATGCTGTCCAAGATGGTGTAGTGTTTCCAAAACTCTTTCAGATCATAACCTTCTTCAATTTTGGTCATTAGCCGCTTGGTTCGGTATGTTCTCTTCATTGTTGCAATGACTCCTTGGTCTATGGGTTGGATTAGCTCAGTAACGTGTGGGGGAAGAAACTTTGCAAAAATTTATCCAATAGAAGACTTTAGCACGCTTGTTGCTGGGTGAGAAGCACAGCTTTTTCAGGCAGGTTTTTCGATTTAAGATACTTACGCACTTGAAGAACAAAGATTTTTTCAAATCATTCTTGAAAAATGCTTTGATACATCCATCCCTTTTTTTTTTTTTTTTCCCCCTCTACTTTCCAATGACAACAAGTATAAGTTTATGTCCACCGGTAGAGTTATTGCAAGACATGATAGTGATCCTTTCCTTGCTGCTTTTATGACCCGCCGCTTTACTTTCACTTTCAAATGCTAAAGTGCGAGTGGGAAGACATTTTCACAGAAGTCCCGATTCGTCGGCATTGTAAATTTGTTCAAAAGATAGCTCTTGTTTTAAAAGAAATTCTTCAAATTCATGGTGAAAATCGTCGGCTGCTTGTTCGTCACCACTAAGTTTCTCCCCATGAAGTCCAGTTTCTCGGATTCCAAGTCGCTGCTTAAAACAAGTCAACCAGCCAGAAGGCCAAACAACTCAAAAAAGGTTTTTGCCTTAGCCGCAATTGATAGGATAATTTACAGGAGTACTCTCTTTTCGAACTTGAGCTAACCACTCTGTCAATACCGTGTCTAGCTGATCAAAGGTAGAACCCTTCATAGTTTTTCGCGTTTTCATTGCGGAAGCACTGTCCGACATTGATGCAATGTTTGTCTTTTTGCTTTAGAATGTCACAAACTGTTGTTTCCGCGATTCCGTAATCCAATTCCATCTGCTGCCTTGTAACGCTGTTTGCTACTTTGGAAAATAATTCTAGTTTTTGCGCAATCGTCAACATAACCTTCTTTCGTTTTCCTGACATTTTAAATAGGTAACATAAAATCAAAAAGCACAAGCACTGAACACAAGATAAGAAATTAACTCCGACTGGTTCGCAAACACTATCAGGCTTAAACTAACAGTGGCGAGTGGGAGGAAGTGGACGTGTCAGTAAGATTAAGATGAGAGAGGGCGGTACAGTGGGCACTGCAAGGGTAAGTAAGAAATCACTTACTCATCAGAGGGGAAGGTTCCGATAAGGCCGAGGGAATGCTTCCGAAAAGGCCTGGATATTTTTGCCATAAATAAGCACAATGTTAGCAAATTTAACTTTTTGCTCAGTTTTGTGAACACTTTTATTTTCTTTGCTTTACGCTTGAAAAAAAAAATACTTTGTGCGGCAGGCGCAGGTAATCGGAAGTCTACTGTATGATGCATTTCCTACTAAAAAGACAGCCTTCTCAAAAATAGAGGGGCAGTGATGAAAAGAAAGATCACCCACTAGATGGCTGTGTAGTGTTTAAAAGAATTGGAAACTGGTTGGGGGTAAACTGATGGGAAGCTGTTATGCCAGATAGGATCGGATGGAGAAGACTTGAAGTGGCAGTCTTGGCCTTAGAGCTCAAGAAGAAGAAATGTCATATAATAAACTAAGAAATTTATATTTTATTTCAGATGTTCATAAAAAACTGAAATGTCATTCCAAAGGTTTCAAAGATTCAACTAATACTAAAAAGGCTGAAAAAACTCCTGTAGCTTCTGATCATGATACAACTCTAGACAGATATCCAAAGAAAGAGGAGAAAACTTTTCATATGACTAAGGTATGTTTGAATAAATGCCATATATCTCTGTTATTAGCATATTTCTAAAATAAATGCAAATTAATTTTATATTGCAATTAGATGAAATAATTTAAAATAAAATGTTTAATACTTTTTTAAATCAATAATTATTTTCATTAGCTTCCTGCTTTTAATTTTACAAGGTATGTAATAATTATAATTGGTACTTGTTTATTAGTGCAACCACATTATTAGAAGTCATAAAATTCTCGAAAAGCACCAAAATCTGACAACCGTGTGTTTTACAGTTCTTTAGTTTTAACAAGCAACATTGCTGTTTTCGTATTCCTTTTTTATGTATTCTGTGAAACAGGTTTTTATAAGTAAAAATTCACATTTTTTGTCTTAAGAATAATTGCTTCAAATTTGTTCTCTAAGCGATAGCCATGGTATTTCCACCAGAAGGGGGGACACTTGTGGATAAATGTATTCATTGATTTTCAGAGCAAGCCACAGTCAGTATAAGAATGTTATATAATGCAAAATATAATAATTATAATATGTAATAAATCATTTTTGAAATTATAAATCATCATGTCTGTAAAACTGAAATTGTGCCAGCATGTTTTCCCTAATACCCAAGTACCATATAAGTTTATTCGGTTATGAAATCTGGCTTTCATTAGACTCTTATCAATTTTATAATAAAACAAATGTATTTTGAATCTTAAAACTGAAATATCTTACTTGTGAAGAACTTGGAAGATGCTTATGTATAGGTACTTATGAAGAAAATAAATGGAAGATATTTATGTTGACAATGGAGGTTGACAAAGATCCTGCCAAAGTTGTGCCAGATTTTCTTGCAAGATCCTGAAGGAACAAATGACTGATTCCTTTTATGCAATAAATCAGTATTTTACTCATTTGTTTTTTGCACTTTGTAAAAAGTGAATTCTATGAATTCTACTTTTTTATGATGCTCTTTGATTTTACTTGATACTCTATTTAGAATGCTATGAGTACAAACTTCTCATATGTAATTACTCCAGTCTATTACTGTTTTGTTACTCGTATTCAGCTGACTCTATCATAGCCATTAATATACACTTTTCTTGATAATAGGATCCTATAACTGAAAATCTACTAGTTGCTGTTTTGTAGAAAGCAGATCTCTCCTCCCCCTCCTCAAAAAAACAATATCGTGTATCGCAGATGTTATGGATGTGTTGTCACATCATGCATAATTGGTGCTAAACTGCACTGTTTGGAGACTGTTTCACAATCTTATGGAAAATACATAAGTATTGTTTGAAACAAAGAAGCAGCAGAAGTTCTTGCATATTCGGTACTTTAGCAATTCCAGAAGAAGAGCGAAATAAAATTGTGTAATGCCGCAAAATGCATTCCCCCCCCCCATTATTAAATGTATTGAAAAAGGGAAACTGCATATAATTCTATAAATATTTTTTCTGAATAAAACATAAATTCAACCATACTTTAATAAGTTTTTTTCTTTGAAGAGTATTTATTATTACTGCAATATTTCATTTGTTTATGACAAGTTTCACAGTGGTATTTAACATTTTATCAGCCTCATGCCAAGTCATTTTGGTTAAAACTTGTTTATCATATTTCATTTCTTTTGCCACTTACAGTTTCAGCACACTTTAAATTGTAATGCCGTCATTTAATTCTGTGGCTGGTTAATTTTTATCCTTTTCAATTCATGTAGTAATTTTGGGTGCTTTTCCGTTTCGCCGGTGCAAATCTCGCCAAGCAGACTTTATTGGCAAAAACACATAGTATACACATAAAAAATGTTGACAAATTTTAGTTGTAAGAATTTTTTATTTTGAAGGTATAAACATTTTAATGTCTTTTAAAATTTTGTAAAAAAGCCTATAAATAAAGACAATAAATTTGTAAAAAGACGTTAATTTAATGATTTACAATCCTTTTATCGTTTTTCCAATTTAGGGAAGTTTGAGGGTTAGTCTGTAATATTGCTAACAATTCTTTTTTAGTGAAACTATGTTTGGTATTTTTGAGTTCCTTTTGTTAATTACCTGTAGCACACATATCCTGACAGAATAGAATAGTCTCCTCTGTGATGCTTTCCCATGTCTAGAGCTGCCTTATGAAGAGTCGAGGACTCCGGTCTAAATTCTTCATGATACATTTCAGCGTTGTCTTTAAATATTAGGCATGCTGCCCCATCCCCCCATAGAGTTTCCATAGAGTTTTCTGACTTCGAGCCCTCTGTCAAGATTTGTCTTTGGAGAGGGAGTTTGGACCAGGGTACTTCAGTCTCTTGGGCCAGGTGTAGGTGTGTTTACTTGTTTGAATGCTCAATGTTTTGACTATGTAATATTATATTTTCTCTGCATTTTGCATTTTCCAGATAGTGAAGGAGCTTCTAAATTGTGCCCTTCTATCTGTGTTTTTATAGGTCCAGAGGCATTGTTCTGAGGTTATTTTGATAGGCATTATTTACTGAATCTGTTATAGCTTTTGGCCCATGCTTACTGTATTGTTCGTCTATATTGGGCTGCCATATAGAATCGTTCATTCTGTGCTCTTGAATACAGTTCTTTAATAAGTTTTCCTTTAAGATTCTATGTGCTATTCATTATTCTGTTCAGTTAATTTATTACTTTGTTTTGTCCGTGACCGAGGTTAAGTGAGGGACCCACATTAATTTCTTATCCAGTACAAAGCCTAATTAGATCATAGCGTACTTCTTAAGGATGTCCCTTCCTATTTTGTGCACAGAGGATTAACTTCTAGTTTTTGTTTCAGGAATATGATCATCTGCATCTTTTCTAAACTAAATTGAAATTTGTCTTACTCTAGTGCATTAGATATCTGAGCATAAGTCATGATTTAAAGCTTTCTGCTATTATATTACTGAGCATTCGAGTCCTGCAGAGGAGAGCTTCTTGTGGTATTCTGCTGTGACAGTTGCTGTATCTCTTTTGTATGCTAATTTTTCTATCCTCCAGGTCTTATTAGTTTGTAGAAATTTAGAGGACATCCGAGTCTCTTTTAATCTTGCTTTTTATGCCAGCTATCATAATTAAAGGCTGACGCTACATCTAGCAATGTTATGAAAATATGTTATACGCCACCCCCTCGATGTTCTACAGGATGGTTTTTGAGACATTGTTAAAGATGTCTATATACTTACGCCGAATTATGCTAGGCTTAGGAGAGTGATATGATCTACAGTCTTATGTTTTGCCTATTGAAACAAAGTAATCAGAAGCAATTAGCTTGAGAACTGTGATTTTCCACTGATCTAAGTGAAAATATTATTTTTTCCCCTTTGAATGTCATATTTAAACAAACTGTTTGGGTATTGAAGCTAACAAAAAATGCTAGTTCACTGTATTTTTAAATGTGTATTCATTACAGATGTTCAAGATTTTTTTTTAACATGTGAACATTTTAGGCACATTAAAAAAAAATTAAGAATTCGGAACATTATCTCATGAAGTTTGGAAGATGGTGCAGTTGAATCCAAGCATAATAGTAAAAAATATCTTGAATTATCTTCATGACATATTTAGATTCTTTCAAGTGTCTTTTAATTTTTAGGAACCTACTGTTTATGGTGATCAAGAGGAATGGTCTGACATTGAAAACATGCATATATATGTTGAGCCAGAAGGTAAGATTTTAAAAATATTTTGTTTATTCTTCACATTATATTGAAGTATAGTAGTTGAATTTTAAAATTTCAAATCTAATTCTCATAAGTATTTCACATCACTGCATTTGGTAATTATAAAAATTGATTAGATAATGAAAATAAATGTGAAATATATATTTAATCACTGAGAATTGGTCACTGTCAGCTGACTCATGAGCATCTTCTAAAAGGTGAACGTAATCCATTTTGTGTAAATTGCAATGGAACTCTGACAATTCTCAATAATTTATTGGTATATCAATCTTTTAAATATTTTTGTCTAAAGCATTTTAATTATTTCAATCTGAATTCAGAAAACTTAATAGGAAGACAATCTCTTTATAAATTGTTTCTAAGATAGACTTTTACCATAAATTTTAATCTGTTTTTATGATCAATTTTATCATGGTTAAAACTGTATTGTAGTTGGATAAGTGCAGTATATTAACATACATTTTCTTCTGTGCATTTCCTTTGTTGCTATTATCTCTTGTGGTTTAATTCTACCACATTGGTCCCCCCCCAGTGGAGATTGCTTTATTTTTGCTTAGTTGCTATTTAACATGTCGCCTTCTAGATTACTTTACCATTTTGTTCTTGATTATGCATTATTTCTTTGATTCCTGAAAATTAATTTTTTTTAAATATTTTATGTAATATTTATTGTTTTGCACAGGCATTACACTATAATTCAATAAACTCAGGAACAATGGACTGTATTATATCTCACTTTAATTCTCATTAATTTACATCGTTCATGGCCACTCGAAGCCACGAATTCTCTCACACGCTCTTAGCTCACAATCTCATGTCACAAACTCCAAGAGCTCAAGACGCATGCGCCGACGCTAGTAATGAAATGCGCGCGCAGGCGCAACATACCGCCCGCCTTGACATGATGTAATCATTCAAAATTAAATCTTACAATAAAAAATTACAGAGTGACAATACGAAATACGGGTAAATAATTATAAACATCAAATAATAACATCAACAAAATCAAACTACTATAATAATAAAATACAATAATACATTACAAACATACTTTTTGTTTAATTTGGCATAGGTAAAAGACAAATTTTATTAATTGATCTCTTAAAAATACCTCCTTTTCGTTTTCACTGAAACTACTCTAACCTTATTGTCTTTACCTAAAGAATATCTCTACGATTCTGCCAAGAGGCCAGTTACATACAGGAACATTATCAGTCTTTAAAATTACCATAGTTCCAACCTTGACATTGTCTTTTTCAAAGAACCATTTAGTTCTTCCTTGCATTGCACTCAAATAGTTATTTCTCCAATACTTCCAAATTGTTTTTGTATTATTTTAGTCAATTTTTGCCAGCTCTTTAATCTATTATCGTTAACGTTTAAAATATTAGGTTCTGCAATAGCCGTGATAGGTCTGCCTATCAGGAAGTGGCCTGGTGTCAAGATATCAAAATCCTCTGGTTCGGATGATAAAGGTTGCAAGGGCCTAGAATTCAAAATGCCTTCAATTTGAGCAATTACTGTAAGAAACTCCTCATAGGTTAGTTTTAAATTGCCTACTACGCGTTTCAAATGAAACTTAACAGATTTGACACCTGCCTCCCAAAGACCTCCATGATTGGGAGCTCTAGGGGGAATGAACAACCAATCAATACTCTCACTTGATAAATAATTACCTAATTCATCATCTGGTTTGCTGACTAGCCTATTCAATTTTCTTAATTCTGCATTACTACCAACAAAATTGGTTGTGTTATCTGAAAATATGCGTGCACACTTGCCTCTCCTGCTGAAAAAACGCTTTAAGGTTGCAATAAATGCTTGACTAGACAGGTTCATTACCAACTCAATATGGCAAGCTTTGGTAACAAAACAAACGAAAATGCACACATACATCTTGCTAAGGCGACCTTTTCTCTGATGTGGGTATTTTTATAAAATAAGGACCAAAAAATCAACTCCAACACAATTGAATGGAAAATTCGGGCTGACTCTTTCTTGAGGGAGTTGACCCATAAGTTGTTGACAGGGCACTGGTTTTGCTTTGAAACATACGACACACTCATGTACTATTTTTCTACAAGTGTTGCGCCCGTTTAAGGGCCAAAACCCTTGTCTAACAATAGACAGTAAGCCTTGTGGACCAATATGCATGTATTTCTTATGAAACATCACAATAATTAGATTAGTCAACTTATGATTCTTTGGTAAGATTATAGGAAATTTTCTATCAAAATTCAACTTACAATTAGCTAATCTGCCTCCAACTCTTAAAATTCCATATTGATCTAAAAATGGAAAAACACTTCTTACCTTGCTATCTGGAGGTACCTTACCCTCCTTTTCAAGGCTTGAGATTTCTTTTTTAAATTCACTATCTTGAATTAGCTTAATCAGTTTAAGTTCAGCTAATTTTAATTCTGAGCTCTGAAGAGGACCTGAAACCTTGTCCTTCCCCTTGCAGTTGTTTACAAACCTAAAAATAAAACTTAAAACACGAATAATTTTAGTGTAATTGTTACTTAAATTTAAGAAATCCTCAATGAAAGGGTTAGCTTTCACATTAAGAAAAATATTAGAGTCACTAAGGATTTTAAGTTCGTCTGGAAAGTCCTTCACAATGACTTCCACCGGAATCTCTCTATTTGGGTAGTCGTCGTATCTCAGGAACAGAGGGCCTTTCCACCACATATCATTTTGTAGAAGTTTACTGGGATCCAAACCTCGGGATATAAGGTCACTCGGATTCTCCTTTGATGACACATGACGCCATTGATGACCATTAGTCAACTCTTGAATTGTTGCCACTCGATTTGCAACAAATGTCTTCAACTGGTAAGGCTCCTTTTGTATCCATGAAAGCACGATCATGGAGTCACTCCACAGATAAACTTTGTTCACAGGAATCTCTAATGCAGATATTACTCTAACCATCAACCTTGCAAGTAGGACTGCCGCACAAAGCTCCAGTCTCGGAATAGTAACTCGTTTAATAGGCGAGACTCTGGATTTACTCGTCACTAGCCTTGTCTTCACTTCTCCATCTCTCGAACGGCACTTGCAATATATGGTTGCTCCGTATGCTACCTCAGAGGCATCTGCAAATCCATGAAGTTCCACATAGTCTACTTCTGCAATAAGAATAAACCTTTCAATTTCTATTTTACTTAAAACTTCCAGTTCAGTAGAGAACTTCTTCTTCTTCCATTCATCAGCTTCCTTTTTTGGTAGTGGTTCATCCCAATTCAGCTTTAACAACCACAACCGTTGGAGGAATATTTTGGCTTTACTTATGATTGGCCCTAGTAAAACCAATCGGGTCAAACAATCTTGCAATTGTGGACAATATCTGTCGTTTGGTAACAACTATGTCATTATCGAGTTTCACTCTAAAACAGAAACAGTCTCTTCTAGACCTCCAAGACACTCCAAGTGTTTGTAGATTCTGCTTCATTAGGAAAGGAATAGGAGTGATCTTCTTCCGCAAGTTCAGCATGATTACTGCACCACTTGTGCAGTGTCATTCCTGCACTCTTCAGTATTGCAGTTAACTGAGATTTAAGTTCCTTAGCTGTACTCAAAGATTCCGCTCCACTAAGCACATCATCCATATAAAAGTTTTTAAGTAAGACTGGCGCAGCTAATGGAAATTTTGGACCTTCATCAATCGACAATTGTTTAAGAGTTCTCATAGCTAAGTATGGCGCACTAACTGTACCGTAAGTCACAGTATTTAAGCTCGTAGATTTTCACAGGTGCATCACTTTCTTTTTTCCACAGGATTCGCTGCAAGCATCTCTGTTCAGGGTTAATTTTAATCATTCTATACATTCTTCTAATATCCGCCGTAAATGCGAATGGGTACTTTCTAAATCTAAGCATAATTGAAAAGAGATCATCTTGAATAACCCCTCCATTACGTTGTAAAGAGTTTAGCGAAATTCCATTTGATGTTAAACATGATGCATTAAACATTGTTCTCAATTTAGTTGTTTTTTGAGGTCGGTATATCCCATGATGTGGCATATAGTACATTACCCTAGGCTCATTTTTCTCTTTAACCTCAGTCATATGCCCTAGCTCTTCATACTCCTTTAAAAAATCCTGATACAGACTCAAATATTCAGGGTCTTTAACTAATCTTTTCCATAGGGAATTTAATCTCTCAAGGGCAACATCTTTTGAATTTCCTAAGCAAATAGGATCTTCCTTTAGTGGCATTGTTACAATGTAACTCCCTTCTTCATTCCGCTTATGAGTTTGCACATAATGTTCTTCACATATTGCTGTTTCTTTATTTTTTTTGAATGGCTATTTCAACATTCTCTATTTCCCTAAATTTTCTCATTGTTTGTTCTAAGTCATTAGATGTTTTCATTAACCCACAATGTACGCGGCTCTGTTCTTCTGATGTAACGCTTCCCGACACTAATAAACCCGAACACGCTGTTTTGTAAAATAAGACTCGAGTTTTCATAGCGAATTTGTTCAGATTTTAATATCTCAAAGAAAACCTCAGCTCCTAAAAGCATCTCTATACGTTCTGGAACATTAAAATTCTCATCAGCTAATTTTATGTTACAAAAATCCTGCATTTTAATATCAATTTTCCTTGAAGGAATCAAATCTTGCGTGATTTTTGGTACTACTAATAAGTCTAAATGTCTCATGTAACTTTTATCTTTATTGCTAATGCATGCCGAAACTCTTTTTCCGAATTGTAAACAAGGAATCATTTAATCCGGAAATCGCAATGTTTACCTTCTCAGAATCAAAGTTGAATTTATTCGCACAGTCTCTGCTTATAAACGATGAAGTAGTGCCGCCATCAAGTAATGTTTTGACTGGATGTATCTTACCCATACCATCACTAATAAAGCAAATAGCTGTGCTCAGAACACATTTTTTGGATCTGTTTACACTAGTCGCTGTAAGCAGAATATTACCGCTGTTGGGCAGAAAGTCTGGCACTAGGGGGGAAAGCA